CTTATGCACTTGCCCTAGCAGAAAGTGACATACTGAGGTCACACTGGCCTTCTTGACGTCAGGAACACCCCTCCTTACTGAATGTCCATAGCAGACATGCTCCCCTTCCTTGGGGCGAGGAGAGACAGGGAAAGCCTAGGATCCAGTGGAGCGATGCCTTGGGCTGAGTCTCACCTCATCGCTGTCTCTGCTTATGTGTGGTTTTTATTTTGTGGACTACGTGTGAAAACTGCAGTCACTTCTGGCAGTTACAGAGACTCAGATTTCCTTCTTGGCCTCGGGCAGTTAGAAGTCTAAAATAGACATGGAAATAGTATGGAATTAAAATGGAACAAAAGTTCTTAACTGGGTCTCAGTATTGGGCTTCAGTGACCCCCTCAGCCTTTGGGAACCCTTGCTTGTTGCCCAGAGACAGGTAGCATGCACAATACTAGATCTCTGTGGCTCTGTTCAGGACTTTTAATTTATTTTCAACCTGACCACTTAATAAAAAAAAAAGTTTTTATTTTAGGGAAGTAGAAAAATATACCAATATGCTCCCTCCCTTTCAGTATACTTGTTAATGAGACATTCAAGAGTTTGCTACAAAGCAGCCTTGTGTTAGATAATTTTGCTACATTCAGGCTAATGCAAGAATGTAGGAACGTTTAAGCTAAGCTGGGATGCTCAGCTGGATGGAGCAGACACGTTTTATGTTTATAGCATTTAAAAGTGATGGGGAGTTTATCAGGCGGTAATTGTACCCTAAGTTCAGAGCATACAGATTTAATCAGAACTCTTCTGAAACTCTGGCAAACAATCAAGGTTATAGGTTGTGGATGAAGTTGGCCTGCTGCACAATTGGTAGGCTGATGGGTTTTTAGAAGTTGCTTTCTCAACCGTCTTGTCTACTTGGAAACTTCTTTCACTGATAGTCTAGTCTACCAGCAGAGATTAAGTTATTGTGACTTTGTGGTAATCAGGGGTCTGTGTGGACATCATCCTTTACCACTGGCTTTTTTTTGTTTTGTTTTTGTTTTTTTGAGACAAGGTTTCTCTGTAGTTTTAGAGCCTATCCTGGAACTAGCTCTTGTAGACTTGTAGACCAGGCTGGCCTCGAACTCACAGAGAGCCCCCTGCCTCTGCCTCCCGAGTGCTGGGATTAAAGGCGTATGCCACCACCGCCCGGTGCCACCCTGGCTCTTGAGCCTTGGCTGAGTACAAGAAAATGATCTAAGGCCCAGCAGCCCAGCAGTGGGCAGGACAAACTCACTGTCGGGTGGTGATTCTGGGATGTGACGTATATGCCAGGATAGGGAAACGTCCAGGACCCTTCGAGAAGACAGAGTGGCTTGCCTCGCTCCTGAATAGCTGCTGAGAAATCCTATGGAGGAGGTATCAGCCCTCCTGGGCAGCACAGATGTGGCTGTGTGTAGCAGCTGCCCTAAGTGAACAGAGGTGCCCTGGGGAATGCAGACACTGCCGATAGGGGGTTGCTACAGTGAGGGGTGCGTGCGCTGAGGGGGGACCTGCTGTAAGGAGGGGTGCAGCCAAGACTGGGTGGAAATCCTCCAGCAGCATCAGGCCTCAGTTGCCTCTAGGTTCCGCTGGGTCAGCTACTTGGTAGGAGAGAAGGCCTTGTGGGGTGACCCGGTTACCATGACTTGCACTTTGGTGAGAGTTAAAGGCTCCCTTTTCTACGCACTATCATTACTTGTTGAGAATCTGTGTTCGGAAAGCAGACTGCAGGCTATCTGGGTTGGAGAATGAGGGGCGGGGAGGGTGGTTTCTAACCGGGAAACTATGTGCTGACTAGAACCACGTTGAAAAGCGGTGTGGTTTCCACAGGGTGCATTCTGGAACGAGCATATTTTGTCTTCACCCTGGAACAAGGCCTTTGCGGAGAAAGAAAACATACCTTGGCCAGGAAAATGTGAAGCCAGTCTCCCTCTTTCCGCGGCTCCAAGCAGCTTTGCCTGCTGAGGGTTAACTAGTCCTGAGGCCATCTTGCCTCCCTAAACCACAGAGATCTTTTCCTGCTTCCCTTCCCTTCACACAGATGTTTACTAAGAGAGAACGCGAGTCACTGCCAATTCAGTAGGCTCCTTGCTCTTCTGTGCATTTTAAAGGCATTTGCTCTTTGGGAAGAAAATCATGAGAAATGAGAATCTTGCTGTCTTGGCTGGAGGCTGGCTCATTGTTTGCAGGGAGGGCTGGTTGCCATGGTTTTGGACGACAGACAGCTGCATTTTCTTAGAGCAATTTTTACTTGCAATTGGATCTACTAAATAGCCGAGGTGGCCAGTTCCCAACAGCAGAAGGTCTGTGAGTTATTTGCAAACACTCCAGTATGCTATCATTCAAAATCAACTGTACATGGTTTTTAGTTACTCAAGTCTCCCCCAGATAGGCCCAGCTTGGCTCAAATTCTGCTTCATAGAGGGCAAGCCAATCTTGCTCGGGATTACTATTTGAATCCTCTTTTTAAAAAATATAGATGATTTCTTTTTATTTGATGTGTATGAGTGGTTTGCTTGTATGTATGTCTGGGTACCATATGAGTGCCTGGTGCCCACGGAGTTCAAAAGGAGGCTTCAGATACTCTGAGACTGGAGTTACAGAAGGTTCTGAGCTGCCATGTAGGTTCAGGGAGTGTAGAAGGCTAGGTTGTTTCCCAGGCATCTAGACCTGAAAAATCACATAGAAACTGTATTAACTACCGCACTGTTTGGCCAATGACTCCAGCATATTCCTAGCTAGCTCTTACATCTTAAATTAACCCATTTCTATCAATCTGTGTATCACCAAGGGGCTGTGGCCTTTCTAAGGTTCTGATGTATCCTTCTCCTTTGGCAACTACATGGCATCTCTTTGACTCTGCCTACTCTCTATATATATCTCTGTTCAGATTTCCTGCCTGGTTTTACTCACTAAACCAAAACTCACTTGACCAAAACAGCTTTATTCATTATCCAATAAAACAACACATATACAGAAGTGATGTGGGATTCCCTTCTGTATGCTGTGAATACCACTGGTTAATAAAGAAACTGCTTTCAGCCATTGGCGTAACAGAATATAGCCAGACTGGAAAGATATACAAAGAAAGTAGACGGAGTCAGTAAGATGTTGTGTGTAGTCGCTGGAGGGGAAAGATGTGAGCCACCAGTCAGAACCTTACTAATAAAATATAAAATAATAGGAATGGGCTAATTTAAGATGTAAGAGCTAGTTAGAAATATGCTTAAGCTATTGGCCAAATAATATTGGAATTAATTAGTTTTGTGGGCAGTAGGGAAACAAATGAACGGCCACCGCCTACACAGAAGGACTTCCCACAGCAATGCAGAAACCTTGACAGCTGAAATTGTTATAGCCTTAGGAGGCCACAGGATTGTTCCTTCTGTCTGTCCTTATAGGAGCCATATCGCTTATTGCAGAAGAACCTTTTAAACCAGGATGTATGGTGTAGTTACTATGAAGTGAGGGTGTTGCAACAACTCTGTGGGGTCCTGTGGTCTTCTCTACCTTCCCTGAATTCAGGGCTGATGTCTGGAATGCACCCTGACTCATTTTCCATCTCATTGGTTTTACTGTCCTGATGTGGGAGGTTCTTCTGTCTATATGTTGCTTTTATTAGTCAATGAATAAAGAACCTCTTTGAGCCTATGGCAAAGAAGACTAGGTGGGGAAAGGTAGGCTGAATGCTGGGAGAAAGAAGGGCAGAATTAGAGAGACATGGCGGAGCCACCACCAGAGTCAGACATGCTGAAACTTTGCCAGTAAACCACAGCCACGTGATGTTATATAGATTAATAGAAGTGGGTTAAATTAATATAAGAGTTAGCCAATAAGAAGCTAGAGCTAATGGGCTAAACAGTGATTTAATTAATACAGTATCTGTGTGATTATTTCCGGGCTAAGCTAGCCTGGCAGCTGGGAAGCAACAAGTGGCTTCTTCCAACACTGCCCTTTGAGCTTCCCATTCATTTGTTAGAACAGTGACCTGTACTGCAAGGTAGACCCGACATCCTGAATCAGACCACGCCTCTGCACAGCTCTCTCTGGGACAGAAAGTTAAGAAGCTCTCTGTGCTGGCCTGGAGAGATGGCTCAGTGGTTGAGAGCAAGTACTGCTCTTCCAGAAGACCCAAAATTTGGTTTCCAGCACCAATGTCAGGTGGTTCACAATCAACAGCCTGCAACTTCAGCTTTGGGGAATTTAACATCTTCTGGCTTCTGGGCTCTGCACTTAGTCTCTCTCTCTCTCTCTCTCTCTCTCTCTCTCTCTCTCTCTCTCTCT